TACTTTAATTAATATGTAATCCCCCATGTAATAAATAAAAAAATAAATAAAAAGATGAATGGTCCACTCTGGCTCAATGGCTTAAACCCTAGATTAAGGTCGTTCACATCTTATGGGTTGCGTGTTTAATCTTACGCAATTTCTACTTTAATTAATATGTAATCTCCCATGTAATAAATAAAAAAATAAATAAAAAGATGAATGGTCCACTCTAACCCAATGGCTTAGACCCTGGGTTAAAACCGTTCATATTTTATGAGTTACATGTTTAATCTCACGTAATTTCTTTTCTTATTTCTCAATTAATACTTGTAAATAATTACAAATTGATCAAAAAATAATAATAATAACACATGGAGTGGCAGCCCAAATGGCTTGTAAGCGGCACCATTAAGTAAATTCAGCACAAACTTTTAACCTGTTTAAAAATAAATAAATAAATAAAATAAAGGATTCATACACTACAATATGAATTACATACTAACAATATAATTTATTATATAAACTTATTAAAATACTCTTAATAAAATAATAAAAAATAATTATGAACAAAAAATAAATAAAAATTTTAAAATATTTTAATAAATTTATAAAATAAATTATACTTTTAATATACAATTTATTTTATAACACTCCTTTTTAATAAAATAAATTAACAAGAAATTAATTAATCCAATAGTTATTTTTTATTTTTTTAATAAACTATTTTTTATTTTATTTCTGAATTACATGATATCCACGTCGCATACATTAAAATATTATTAGTTGTCCTTTTAAAGCTATATACATATATTAATGGGCATTGCCGTTAAGGAGACACCTCCAATGGACCGATACCTGTAAAGTTCCTAATCTTTGTCATCACTTGTCGCAGCACCTAATTCCAGTCAAAACATTAAAATCCTTCACTTCCCTGCGCCTTCGTCCCCATTTTCATCCCTTTTCTTCCTCCTTAACTCTCCCTGTTCATTTTAAGCGATTTTCAGAATCCAGCACTCCTCGAATCGAATCAGAAGAAATGGGTTTTGCGAAGGAGGAGAAATCGAGGAGAGTGTGGCGAGGTTTGAAGACTCTCTTCTTCTTGATCACCATGGTAATTTCGTTTCTCCTGTTTTCTGCGCCGGTCCTCCTCGCTATTGCTGATACCCTTTTACCCTCCGCTTTGCTTTCTGCTTCCCTTTCTCCTTCATCTCTGTCCTCGGATACTATCTCCTCTTATTTCAGTAACTATGATTTTCGGTATTCCCTCATCGATATACCTCTCATCTCCATCATAAGATCAATTGTTATACTCTGTAAGTACATATCAAGCATGAAATTCATCTGGGGATCCATCAAAGTTCTTATTTTTTTATTCAGTAATTGATGGGTTTTTCGCTATAATTTTGTAGGTGTATATAGTCTCTGTGATGGACCCAGGCTTTCGAGGGGGCCATACTTGGGGATCGCGACGATGTGTTCTCTACTGTCTCTGATTTATGTTTCATTAAAGGCTTCGTTTGTGTTTAGCGCGAGTGTTCATCGAGAAGGGTATGTCAGACCCATGGAGATCGCCCTGTTTGTCTGTTCACTCGCCTTAGCCGTCGGGCATATAGTCGTTGCATACAGAACAAGCTGCCGGGCGAGAAGGAAGCTCCTTGTATTCAAAATCGACATTGAAAATGTAAGTTCATCTTGCTCTTTCTTGAATCTTAATAATTACTTCTCGCAAATGGAATCGGTCAAACCAAGGAATTAAAAATAAAAAGTCTCTTAATCATCTTTGCCGGTCGCCCTCCACCTATTCGATGAAAGGCCACTGAAGCTTCTGGGTGGAGCTTTTATTCTTCTGGAAGGTCAACTGTTTCTCGGTTTTCGATTGGCGCCGGGAATTTTGTGAGATTTGCCTAATTTTAGGCTTCCGTAAGGAGGAATGGGAGGAAGGCCGAACCTCAGAATGACCTCAGAATGAGCTTTCCTGTGGTTAAGACTTGAGACTTGCTCATTTTTTTATTTGTCCACACCTGCAACTTGAACCTGGCGGCTGCATTGAATTGAGTCATTGACCACTTGCAATTGCTCATAAATTTCACATTGAAACACTTCTAGATTATGAACCGGAGATTTTAGACGGGGTATGAACTCTCAAAAAAATCTATTGTTCTGTTTACTTTTTTTTTTCAATTTTTCTGGTCCATGTTTTCTCCTCCACCTAACCCCAAGTTGAAATCCTACATGGAATCTTGCATCCGGATAATCTGTGTGATTGGACGCTGCCCATAGAGGTGGGTCTCTTCTTGGCTTTAATATTTGGACAAATTGCCGATTCCATGTGCAACTCTTCCTACATTTTTGAACTGGCAGAATATTGAACTTTTCCAGAGGACCAAAACAAAGTCATAATTTAAAACCTTTGATTGTAGAGTTATGGTCATGGTTCAGAGTTCGGACCTCTATAATAGCTAGTGCACCTACTTGCTTGTGTCCCAGAAAAAATGGTATTCACTTTGCCTGATGTTTCATATTCTGGTTATTGTTTGCTGGCAAGTTGGCTGGTTGACAAGCTGATTTCTTTATCTTCCATCTTGTTGATCAAGGATCAATTAATGGAAGAGTGCATGAGAAGCTAATTTTTAATGAATATCCTAGTCTTCTCGAAAATTCTATCCCCCAACCTGTGAAGTGTGAACGTGGGCCAATTGTGCAGTAATGCTTTTCAAAATCAAACAGTAACACATGGTAATGCTTTTCAAAATTAAACAGCAACACATAGTAATGTTTTTCAAAACCAAAAAGCAACATGTAGTAATGCTTTTCAAAGTCAGACAGCAACCCTTTATTCTGTTCCCATTTCAATTTCTAGAAAGAAATCCATTTGTAGATGGTGTTCCTAATAAGATTTGTTCATATCATGATAATTTACAGGTTTCAGCTTGCAAGAATGGGTTTCCAAGATACCAGAAAAAGCTCCAAGAGGAAAGAGTGAAGTAAATACCAACAGCGAAAATGAGAATCGGTTACCTCTCCCCTTTTTGGCTTTGGCTCTGTGCATTATTCCATTCCAGGTTTCAGGTAACTACAACCCTAGTTGTGCCTTTGTCTTATTCTAAACCTACCCCAAAACCAGTTTTACATCATCACTCGCGTTTACTTAACAAATAAGGTGGATAATGCTGATGATGTGGGCACCACAAATCAACAGATATTTCAATGACATTTATTTGTTTATTTCATTTATCAATTTAAAATGACTAACCATGGTTTTACTTGGTGCAGATTTTTGCAAAGAAATCGTTTCCTGAATACAGAGCAGTTAGCACTGAACAGGGGATGAGTGTGGAGACAGACGCTAGTAAACAACCATAGACAAAAGAAACCTTTTTTTTTTTTGTTGATGTTGTTATGGGGAGAGGAAGTCTGATTATTACTTAGGCAATGTCTCAAGACACATGATAAAATTATTTCATCTGTATAGCATATGAGTCTCTTGTTTTGCAGTCTGGATTATACCAGACTGCAAAACAGTTTTTCGATAACATTTACATAGAGAAACTGTGATAAGTGCTGGCGTTGTATCTATTGGCGTGTATAGGCTCTGATTTCAGAAAAACACCCAACCTTTGGTTTGAGGTGCAGCGTTTGTATTGTACTGAAAAAATCTAATGGGATTGGCCAAAGGCCTTTTCATAAACTTTATATGTGTACTTTGCTGACGCCCGAAGTTCAAGAAAAAGTTTTATCCTGCAGTGCATGAGTGTTAATAGAGGACAAAAAATAATTGAAGGATCAAAAGGGGTCAAGATTACTAAGTTAAGGACTGTTTTATACAATTAACCAATTTAAAAGTAACATTATTTATAGTGTAGTTCACATCGTATAGCGGAGACCCTCCAAATGTAAGGACAGTTCTCCTTTCAAAAGTTTGAACTTTGGAAGCTCAAACTCTTCAAAAGTTTTGATTTTTGGTTTTCTTTTGTTTTTTAAAAAGGTCTTTTGTTTTGCAACTTTTACTTCAAAAATAAAAGCCATTAAATTGATGAAAACTCCTAATATTAAAAATTATACCTCTATTTATGCTCTTTCAATGTGTATTTTTTTATTTATAAGAGTCAAACTCAAGATCTTACTAATAAGTTATTGGTAGTATACCTCCATTTAACAATTAGTATTATGTAATTCAGTTTACAAAATATTTTTTTTTTCAAAAAACTAATTTTCTGAAGTGGGTTTCGGTCGGCCCATCCTTATATGTAACCAGCCCGTAACCTGCACCAACCACTAAAAGCGCTCGATCCGACCCGTTATTGCTTTCTTTCTTAAGAAGGCTTCTTCTTCTTTCTCCCGCTCTCAACTAAAACCCTTACCAGAGTCAGAACTAGAAAGAGAAGAGGGAAGGAAGATTCAAAAAAATGAGGTTTAATTTCGACGTAGGGGAATCAAGCGACGGTTCTCGGAGATCTCAAACGCCAAAGGAGGAAGTGCAGTGGATTTTGCTCCAAAACCATCCCATATTTGCCTCCGCCGCTTCAAGTTCCGACGGAAACACAGAATCCGCAGCTTCAGTTCGATCTCAGAGGAATCTTCTAGCTTGGGATGGAGCCTCCAGGCTCTATTACTGGGATCCCGTCAAGCAGTGCCTCCATCGAATCTCCATTCGTTTGGGCGAACCGGAACCAACTTCCGTCACCGCCTCGTCTCCTGCTAAGGTAATCTTTAAAGCCAGGAAATGAGGGCTTCTTGTATGCGTAATTGTTTGAGCTGAGCGGAAGCTTCTGAGTGTCTGTTCGTGTGAGATGTTGCATTACACATCCGCAGATGCTTGAATAGCTGCTTTGCTTTAATTTCAGTTTCTTTGTTTTGTTTGAATGCATGATTGTGACTGCATTAAGTTGTAGGTGTTGCAAGCCGATGTGCGGCTGAATTTCGTGGTTAGTAGAATCTCCATCAACAGAAGTGGATCGACTTTACTCCTTGCTGGCTCAGATGGCCTGTGCGTGATGTACCTTTATGGGCGTACTTCCACCAAAGACAACACCATTGTTTGCAGGTATGGTTTGGTGACTTTGGTCTGCATGGCTTTAGGATGATGATTGTTATCTAACTTGATATATGGGGTTTAGATTCAGGGTAGCAACATTAGGAATTGCAAACTGCAGGCACTGTACATTTAGTATATTGGATCATTTAAACAAAATAATTTTTCTCCGAAGGTTATTTTTGTTTTTGTCCCTAATTTCTAATTGTAATGGCAGTTCCTCCATTGATTTGCATTGGTCAGATATTTTCACCTACTTTGTTAATTAATGTACATCTCAGTAGGCAGACATCGGACAAGTTTGTCCACCAGTTGACTGTGGCAGTTTGGTTCTGATTTTCTTGGGGTTAACTATAGTGTTTTTTTTTTTTGTTGAAATTACCATTCTGTTTGAGAAAAATTGAGTTAAATTGGATCACAACTCTGTTGCAGTGATGGCAAACTGATGTGCATGCATCCAGTCTAATGACACCAAGTGGCACACTTGGAATTCTCGTCTGATTGAATTGGTTACCATATTGCTTTGCAGGACTGCTTCAATTGGGTCACAAATCTATTTCAATGACAGCAATGTGATACGGATACTACAAGTTGCATGGCAACCATATAGTGACACCCATATTGGAGTTCTCTCTTCTGATTCAGTTTTCAGGTATCCAGATGGTTATCTTCAAATTTTCAGGGCAGAAATTATCAGACTGAATTAACATAAAAAAAGGTCTAATTTGATCGGTAGAAAGATAAATTGAAAAATTATTTGCCATTCTCAGTGGATAGCACCTGTGGGAATTGGGATTTGGTTTTGGCAGGGAAGGGGAATGAATGACTGTTATTTGTTTCTTTCAAAAACTTTATTATGTTCTTTTCAATTGCTGTCTTGTAGATAGTATATTGTTATGCACCCGGCATAGAAGTTTGTTCTCTAACATGTTATATTTGTGGTTTATTTCCCACTTCTCAAACACTTTGAACTCTTGCTACTGAATTTGAAGGAAGAAGTTTGTTAAATGGTGCTCATAAAATTTTCTATTGCTTTTAATTGTTGCTTTCCATGTTCTCTTGACCTTTTAGCTTTAATTTTTTTTTTTTTTTTGTAGACTTTTTGATTTGTCTTCAGATGTCATGCAACCAGAGCAGGAATATTATTTGCAACCCATTGAACCTGGTAGATCCAGAAATGCTGCATCAATCTGCCCAGCTGACTTTTCTTTCGGGGGCGACCACTTGTGGGACAGGTTCAGTGTAAGTACCATTTATTTTATATACTATAAAGATTATAATTTTTGCAATGTGCTTTGTAATGCTGGTAATAGGATGCTAATTGTCCATTTGGTGGCCTTGTTAGCATGATTTATGGCAGTCTTAATGTTTGTTAAATGCTTCAACTTCTTTTTGATACATGACTTGGTTTTGTATTCTGAAAATTTTTCTAAACTCCCTTTTGAAAGAAATTGTAGGTTTTTTTTTTTGTTTTTTTGTTTTTTTTTTTTTTGGGGGGGGGGGGGATTAGGTGCCTTTAAGTAATACTACTTTATGATGAAATTAATTCTATTCTGGTGATTTCATAGTAGTCTTCATCTTAAATGTAAATTTAGCTTCCATTTATCATTATGCTTTGTTTCTCATGAATATGTGCTGATATCATTCCCTATGGATTCCTATCAGTTGTTCTTGATTTCTTGATTAGGAACATTTTTTAATCTCCCTGTCTTTATATTGATGTTTATCTCTTTATATTTAGGTATTAAGAATCAGTTTTCTCAATCTAATGGTAATTTCTCTTTCAATTTATGTTCATTTTTATTCTATTGCAGGTCTTTGTATTATTTAGTGATGGTTCAGTTTACATCCTCTGCCCCATTGTTCCCTTTGGAAGGTATTTTAGATCTTAAATCTAACAGGATTTTTATTTTTATTGTTTAGCTTTTATTTTTAATTGTATCATTTAAGTACTTGCCCTTTTGGCTTACACATTGTGGTTGTCATGACTCATGATCCTTTCATTGCCCTGAGAGGTACATTTTATTTTAATTTGCTACTGGCCCTTTTTTTCTTTTTTTTTTCCTTTTGTGCCCTAATGTGCTACTGGCATGCTGGCTGATTATTTGCATTTTTTTTCCCTTAATAGTGTTTATAAATGGGAGTCAATATTGGAGATATATAATGATGCTCATACCTTTGGGCTGAAGTCTGCCAATTCAACAGCTGTTAACAATTCTAATTTGGCAATCACTTGGTTGGAAGAAACTTTTCCTGAATTATCACAAGAGGCAACATATGGGGAAAATATCTCTGCTGTCAAGGCTTGTCCCTATGCTTTATTCGATGCATCACTTGCTTTGCAGGTATATGTCTCTTCTTTGAAATAACAATCCTGGATGCTTTATGTATGGCAGTTTGAGGTAATAATCCCAAGTGGCAAAATATCAGTTAGGTCAAATATGTCAAGTATTATTATGAATATTTTATGCGTTCTTGCTCTCGTGGTAGTGAGCAATAGTTTCATCCCCCAGAAATTCTTTGTCCCCAAAATGATTTATATAGGATGGTTTACATCTCAGTGAAAGGATGGGCATCACTACTGATTTATCATTTTTATCATATTCATATTCTCCCATTAATATCAAATCTGGAACGTTTACTGTTCTTCATTGTGAACCAATTTAGCTTCAAGGGATTAGTTTTACAATAGTTTCTGCTTTTCCAGGGGCCTCTGCATAAAGTATGTCAGGGCAGGGGAGATGAAACTCTAGCAGTTAGGGGGGCAGAATGTGAAGGACGTGCAGTCAGCCTCCTCTATAATTTAGTCAGCAAAGATTCAATTCTGGTGACAGCCTGGAGTGGTGGGCAATTGCAAATCGATGCCCTAGCTGATGAAATCCAGCCAGTCTGGATTGATGGTAGCTTGCCTCGTCTTCATGTTGACTCCCATAATCGAATTCTTGGTGTTGCTATGATCTGTGAGTCAATTGTGGAGGAGCACTCAGTTCTGAAGTTTGATCAACCTTCTGATAGTACTGCTTGGTTGGGACATCCACCTCCTCTGTTGCGATTGGCTATCGTGGATTTGGCCTTGCCAGCCAAGACAGAAAATGGTTCTCTTATTACATTATTTGCTGATCCCCTTATGCAAGAAAGAATATATTCCCTTCATGATGGAGGCATAGATTCAATAGTGTTGCATTTTCTTCCTTTTACAAGTCAGATGGTTGGAAAGGATGATAATATGAGAACTCCCTCAGTGCATCCTGTGCTAAGTACATGTCAGGGGGAAAAGTCCTTACCTTCCCTATTTGGTTTTCTGTCACTGTCAGATTCATTTGGATATTCATGGGTTGTGGTAGTCACCTCCTCTAAAGAATGTGTTGTGCTTGAGATGAAAACTTGGAATTTATTGCTTCCCATTCAAGTGGATACAGAGAAGAAGCCTACTAGCTTGGAACAGCGGAAAGAGATTGAGACTCCTGATATCATAAATAAAGAACTCCTAAGTGGTCCTAAGGTGGTTTTAGTTCCCCAGGCTTCACCAAACTTACGTTCTGTTCCTGCTGATTCTATTGATGGCCGTTCTATTCTTCACCAATATTTCAAGCTTTTCCATGAAAATTATGTTGAGTATGCACATAAGGTGAGAATGCAGTCTTCAGTAAGCATCTAATTTTTCTTATACCTCTTCCAACTCCATATTTTAAGTTTACATGAAATCTCTTTCTTTTATAATCAATACATGTTGAAAATGATCTTGGAAATATAGAGGGTTTTCCTGTTGAGCAAGCAGAAATCATACCTTGTAAAATATGTATCCTATTAGGCAGTAATAAAACCTGAGATATAATGTCAATAAATAACTTATTCAAATTTGGTGGAGGATATTGTGCCTAACAGCTTAAAGCAGTATTCATTCTTTTTGCATGAATAGTACTTATAATTGCCTAAGAGTGGTATAGGACCTCTGAAGCATGATTTATATACTGGGGACTTGCTTGAAACATTTTGCGTCTGTGCACTATCAGCTTTTGAGGTTTAGGTGCAAACTTAAAAGGGATTGTTTTCCATATAACGGTTGTTGTCTAACATGGGTGATAATTGAACAATGTTATATTCAAATGCTGTTGTGAGTTCTACAGTATGCTTTACAGAAGCTGATATGAGGATATCCTCTTCCCTAGGTATACTTTGAGCTGAAACATCATGGCCCTCAATTAAAGAGAATCATTGATGGCCAGCATGCTCGTTTGGATGAGGCACAGCAGAAGATTTTGAAAGTTGAAGCAAAACAGTCTATTCTGGAGGAGAGAATTGGTCGTGCAATCCAGAGACATAATTCTTTGGAACAGCGGTTGCAACATCTAAGAAATTTGCCTGGGGTGCACAGGAAACCATTGTCTAGAGCAGAGCAAGAATTTAAGTCTGAGCTTGGTAATCAATTTTCACATTATAGTTATTAATGAAGTTATTTGGATTCTCCCTCCTTATCATTTATTCACTAATTTGATAATTGAACTGTAATATGTCAGTGATTGCTGCATGCCATTAAATAGTTCGTTTGGATATTGTGCAGATCAATTTACAGGTGTCGAGTTGGACTCGTTGAATTCTTCCATCGAATCTTTAAGGGCGAGGCTGAGAAGGTACACACAATCGTCAAAGGACAATCCAGTGAGTCGGCAAAGGCAAATTCCGGGAAGAAACATTCTTCAGGATGCCCAAATCTCCCAGCTGAAATCCTCACTTGCAAAACTCTCATTAATAAATAATGAGAACTCTAAAAAGGTTAAAGTCCTTCAGTCTGCATTAAAAAGCCGGGAAAGCGGCAGAACCTGAAAAACGATTCAAAACGTGTTAGGAAATTGTGTCCTCTGGGAGATGAGTTTCATTGCTCTTCCCTTGTTCTATTTATGCGGCTAAGTTGATTGATGAAAGTTGCAGACAACTCTCTGGATTGGAGGTGGTACCATCCTCTACCCATTGCACTATTTATCACAGTTGCTGGCATATCTTTTGATTATTATGAAAAAAAAAAAAAATGCGGCTGGCATGATGGAATTTATGCCCAAGAATCTGTTTGGCATGAGATTGTCCTTTTCCATTCAAGATAGGACCTGCTATTGTATACGTGTCATTTCACTCATGCTAAAAACTGCGAAGAGGTAAGATGGAACCAATTGTAGAAACAGAGTTAGGATACTGGAAAATTGGAAATTATGGTATGAATGTAAAAAATCTGTGTATGAAAATCGTCTATTCGAATTGCTAAAACTCTGAGCATGATCCCACATGGTAATTCAGGCTTGTGCGGGGAATACCAGATTGGAAAATTGAATCAGTTTTGCTTTTCTTTAAGAAACATGGGCTCTTTTAAGATATGCTTGGATCTGAGAAACAAGATAGAAAGCATCATTGGAGAACAGGGTGAAGAGAATCGAGAACTCTCCATATTGTATTGTATCCAAAGAGAATGAGCCGCTGCTAAGTGCGGCATTGAGAAGTCCGGACATGGAGATAAAGGGTGCCAACTACTACTGAAGCTAAGCTTACAAGAACACAGATAATTTACATCTGCTTCTCTATTAGTCTATTTGCCTCATTTATTTGATCTGATATCACAAGGTCGTTAAACCTCTGCTCGTTTATATATTTGACCATTTATCTAGGATTGGTCTCTGGTCTTACTCTTTATTTGGCTGAAGATATCTCGGCGCTGCACCTTGATGGGGTACCGCTTCTGTGTTCGCGTCGTCGGAAAGAAAACCAACTTATCTTCTTCGGTAGGAACCCAACTGTCCAAAAACCAAGGTACGCACGTTCATTTAGTGGGAAAACTCACTAATACGCACTAGTGCTTATGCATCCACTGTTAGTACACGTTTAAGGTGGGTATGGCAAATAGGATACCTGAAACGGGTGACCATGTGGTGTAGGAAAACAGAGAGCATCACCCTAGCTAGCTCATACCCTGGGCAGAGCCTTGTCCCTCCTCCAAATGGTGTGAATACATATCCTGGACTGCCCGCCCCGGAATTGTTCTGTTCATATCATTTATATATCACTCTTTTTAGTACAATACAGAATCTGCAGAAGAATGTGAATTTCTTTCTCTATGGAGAAGAAAGACAAACCTGCCATCTCCATGGATTGAAAGATCTGGCATCTTTGAAGTGTTCATGGTCTAGATGCACTGCTCGAAACGAAGCAAAGACCTTCCATCCCTTAGGAATTGTATAACCTAGTCGAATCAAGTTCTTAGTAAAGTACCACAGTTATTTTGTGAGTTATTTTGTGAACAGTTTAGGCACTTAATCCCTTACCCTTTATATGAATGTCTGTCGAAGCTCGCCTGAACACTCCACTGATTATGTTTGCCACCCTCAAAGTCTCATTAACCACCTGAAATGCATCGACAAGGTCAGAAAAATCTTTTTAAAAAAAGGGGAGGGGGGGAAGAAGAAGAAGAAAGAAGAGGCATTGATGGAGCACAACTGCATAAGCAACTATGTCCAAAGTGAGACTTACACACTGAGTAAAAGGCATGGATTTATAATCACTCCATTGTAGTGCCTCTGCCTCACTTTTCTTTGCCCTTATCCCATCATGCTCTTCCTGCCAAGATCGCATCATTTTATCAACAATTAAACAAGTTTATTAAACTAATTCCACCACTTTTGGTGTTCTTCTTCATGATGTTTTTCTCATAACACCATTGTATTTTTTTGTAAAAAAAATTATATAATTTTAAATACATAAATTATTAAATGAGGGTAAACTCTTAATAATAGAAGTGTTTCCTCATTTAATTATTATTATTTTGCTGTATTTTATCAAATTTAAAAACAACAAACTCATTTTTTTATAAGATTATAATATCATTAGCGACGAAGACAGGACATTCACTTTACAATTGAAAAACTTTAAGGGACTCTTTGATTGCTAAAACTTTTCTTCTTATAAGACCATTTATATATTTTTACATATACTTTAATAAAATAAAAGTAAAAATGACATTTTTGGTTTTTGTTTTTCTGACATAAATTTTAAATCGTAAACATTTGAAAGGAAACCCAACCTTTCCTACATAAGATTCGTTTGATAGTCTTTCCACCTACCTTTTTTACATTAATTTCTTATCAAACACAAAAAGATTATTTTTTTATACCAATTTCTTATTAGATATAAAAATAATAATAATCTAACAAAATTTTATTACAAAACCTATTAACTTTTCATATAATCATTTTCTTATAAAAATTTTCTTATTAAAACAAACAATCTAACCAAACAAAGCCCCAAAGGAATTGCCTGCTTAACAAGGTGGCAAGTCCCTGACTACACAAGCCACTAGCCAAGGCTTAAAACATACAGTCAAAATTGACAAAATCTTATTTTTAGTTTTACCTTAATAAATTTATAAGTTTTATTTGTTTACTTTATATTATAATACTTTTAATCATTTATTTTTATAAATTGAAACAAATAATCCTTATTTAATATTAATTCATAACGTTCATTAACTGATTGTTAATATTTTGTTAGTTTTGTTTCTATCACTGTTAAGAGTCTATCAATTGACTATTAACAAAATGATAACAATTAGTTAACAAATATTAAAATTTTACGTTAAATAAAAGTTATTTTTTTAATTTATATAAGTAAAAAATTAAAAATATTATAATATAAGTTGAGATATTAAAATTTATTAATTTATTAAAGTAAGAGTAAAGAGATAAGCAAGTTTTGCCGTAAAAATCAGGGGAATCAAACGGCACTAGCATGGGGGTGGGGTGTTGTGCTGTGGTGACTAGAAGATGAGAATCCCCCTCACCATTCACTTTGCACCGCTTGATGGGCATGGCCTTGGAATCAACACCCACGTTTTCCCATACATCTGTACTGCATCGTACGGGAAACAATTCAATGACCGTATTGCCCCCGATAAATGTCACGGGCGTTTCGGTCATTATAGCAAAAGAACGTACATGGGTCAAAAGACACTGCCATCAGATTCTGACGCCTCTCAAGCCGTGCGTGCAGTTTTTTTGGGAGGCATCACTCTGTCCACTTTGACAAACCCTGGTCCTACTTTTGACCTTTTCACTTACTTGTACCTTTTTGCCCTCACATTTTACCCACACCCCATCAATATTCTACACATTTCCTAACTTTAGTTGTTCTATTTATTTACCACAAAAAATGATTGTATAATCTCAAAGAAATTGATAAGGAAAATCTCTTAAGAAGCTATTTGTTTTAACGTTGTTGTTATTTTTTTTTAATTAATCTTTTAATATCTGATAATCACATTAAATTTTAATTAATTTGAAATCGAACTGTATTAGATCTTATTAAGAGAAAAATTCTCTCAGAATCTATTTTTTTATTTATAAGAATCGAACTCAAAATTTTGTTTAAAAAGAATCGAACTCTTTCTACTCGAATTAATAGATCATTTGTTAACGTTATTGTTATTGTTATTATTGATTATTGGTTCTAATTGAATATATTAAATATTTAAAATTAAAAAAAGATATATGATCAATTATTGAATATTTAACTAATAATTATATTTAAATAATTAATTTAAATATTCTTTTGAATATTTAAATGTTAAAATTTTTGCAAAATTATTTATATATTATTTATAATTTTCTTTATGTGTTAATTAATTAAGAATATTATTTTTATTATTATCTTTTACATTTTAATTATTAAAATGTCTTGACTTTTGATAATTTTTTTTAGTCAATATTTTATTTGAATTGAGAGAAAGAGGGTTGAGAATGGTTGGGAAAAATTCCTCCCCCCACCATCCATTCCCACAAAAAAGTTGTCTTAATACTTAGTCATGCAGCACAGATTAAAGCGCGTAAAAATTGTACATTTTGATTTTTAAATATTAATTTATATACAAAAAATAAAGTAAAATTTATTAATTTTTGTTAATTGTTAAATTAAAATTATTAATTTAATATAAAATGAGGTTTTTGATGTGCCCGACATAATTGTTTTCTGGATCCGGTTCCACCAGAAAAAGAAAAGAAAATGTAAATTTTTTTATATAAAAATAATAATAATAACGCACCTTTAGCTGAGCTAGAGCGAGAGGTGTCTCAGTGAGGAACTTGACAGCCAGCGTCATGATGGTGGAGGTGGTTTCGTAGCCGGCGACGAGCAGAGCCAGCAAGAAATCCACAATCTGCTCATCGGAGAAGTTGTCTTCTCCGGCCAACAGAGCTCCCAACATGTCGTTCTTCCTCTCTCCAGCTTCGTACTTCGCCCTTCTCTGCCTCACTACCAAGCTCAACGCTTCCGCCACCTTCGTCCTAGCCTTCAAACCCATAAACCACACAGTTTAGCCGAAACCCAAATATAATATAAATAATCCCATTCATTTTCCGGGCCGGCATGTATCCTTAATTACCTTGATCGCTCTCCGGTAGGTGGGGGAGAAGATCGGCAACGGGATGGAAAAGAAGCCTTCGATAACAAGCACGTACTCTTTCCTCAAGCTCTCAGTCCACTCACCCGGATCATAGCTCATCAATTGCTTCACTGTTAAATCAAACGTTATCTGCATCCATTAAAAAAAAAAAATTTACTTCTCTTTGCATCAAACGGATTGAATATATAAATTTTAGCCGTCAACCTTGCGGTCATAACGTGTCCATTTCCGATGGAATCTGACTCACCAAAGTCAAAGACACACCACCGCCAAGTTAAATCGGCAGAATATATGTTTTTGGAAAAGAATTTTAATTTGGTCAGTTAATGTATAATGAGTTTTCTTTTTGTGCTACCTTCTTGGCTTCTTCCATGAGCAAGATCCGGTCGGTCCATGAATCCATAGTGAACCGGACCAGCCGGTCTATGTCAACCAACAGATGGTCTCGGATGATCGTGGAGTTCCCGAAGCTCATTGTAAGAGAATGCATTCTTTTGTGGAGACTTCCTTTCATGAGTACCAACGAGTGTTTTCCGAGCAGGTTTGATATCGAACCCGGGTAGCTGCCCTCGAAAAGCTTACCTTCGTTTTGCAGGATGAACCGGTTTGTCTCGGGATCGGTTGAGAAAACCGTCGGTTCTCCAAAAACGTGGGTGGTGAAGATCGGGCCATACCGGTTCACCCTCTCGTCTATAAACGGTTCGGGGTTTTCCGTCTTGTAAGCAGCTATCAGCTGTAGAGTCTCACCCACAAAGGGAAGACCCAGACCCCCCGGCGGCAACCTGAGCCGACGAGACCGGGAAGCCCTGAACACGATAAAGAATCCAGCAGAGACTAGAAAACAGAGCAAGAGATAGCCAAAAAGGATTGCCATGACAAAAAAATCAAGAGTTGAATTAAGGTTGTAAATGGGAGTTGTGTATAAGGAGTGAAGAGTGGAGGTGCGTAAGAGAGGGTGATAATGGAGGAAAGCACACGGCGGGTGGGAGATGTGGGTATATCCGTGAGAATCAAAGGATGGTAAGGCAATAAATGTGAGAGATATTTTGATATCTGAGAATTTTCTTAAAATTTTTTGGAAAAACTTTCAAATTCATCCTTAAAAAATATTGGTAGAAATACATCCACCTCTAAAAAAAAAAATAAAGATAAATTACTCTTTTAAATTATAAATCAATACAAATCACTCATTTTTCAACAAAAAACGTTAGAATTTTATTTACCATGTCAGTATTTTTTAACAAAATAAAGTTTAAAAATGAGTAATTTGTATTAATTTATGATATGAAAAGATAATTTATCTAATTTTTTTTAGGGGTGAATTCCTACCAATATTTTTTAAAAGTGGATTTAATTGTTCTGCCAAATTTTTTTTTCTAAAATGCTTTTCCACTAGAACTTAATTTGGACAGGAAAAGAGTGGAAAATGAGCTGTGATATATGAGCCTGGAACCTACCAAAGCATTTGTATGTAGCTTTGCTGGTTTTTTCCGCAATTTATTTGAAACATGGAGTTGATTTTGTTAATTAGGAACTTCTTTGTACCCAACCCATACCCATTCGGTAGAAATCGAACCTGCCCATCACCGTTATTACCTAATAATCACAATTTCTTTAAAAAGTGTGATAATATTTAAAAGTTTAAAATTTGAATTTTAATAATTTTATTTCTCATCCTTTAATTATATTAGTTAAAAAAAAAAAATTAGAAGCCAACCCATGCCCGTTGAATGTTGATAACCAACAATTCCATAAAGAGAAAATAAATAAATAAAAGGAAAATATAAATGTAGCACAATACACATAAATTTTTTTATTTTATTATTTAAAATATATTTAATTATAAAATAAATTTGTTAAATAAAGTGCAAGAGAGCTCTCAATATGAACAACTCTTCATTTAATAATTATTATTGTGTTGTTTAAATCGAAGTCCAAATTGCAGAACAATCTTTTCGATATACATAACATACTCCACTTTTCACTTGTCTTTTACATTTTATGTCACTCAACCTTTTTCTCAGTATGCATGTGTATTGTTGGCCCACAATCCCATTAATTTGCCCTGGCTAATATGCAGCTGTTTATTGAAAAATTAGTTATTATTATTATTTTTAATAAATTTGCAAAGGTGGAATTCGAATCATTATCTTGAAAGGGGATGCACTTATATGTGGTTTGACATTATTGGACTTTCAGCTTAAGTGTGAAAAATTAGTTATTTGATATGGTAAAAATTTAAATATTTAATTTTAATTTTAAATTAAAAAATTTTAATTAATAGATATTAGTTTGATCAAATTTTTACTAGTGTTCTCGCTACGTTAATTTTAATTCACGTTGAATGAGATATATATAGTTTAATTAAAAGCAAATTATAACTAGTTGTTTACCCAAAACCCCATAAAAATTAAGCGCAAGGTGTTGGTAACTGGTAAGACTAGTCGTGTGGAAAGTTTAATTTTAATTGTAAGAGTTAAGAAATATATGTATTGATTTAAGGTTTTATGCAAGAGGACTCCTCAGCACTGTCCGGGCGGGCCATTTCCAAATGTCTGCGTCTTCTATTAAAGAAAAAAAGTGGAAACAAATTAAGGCTAAATTGGTTGTTTTTCTCGATAAGAGTTGTCTTTATGCAAGGGAGGGTTTCCTTTAAAATTACATAAAAACAATTCCTTTCTATTGTCATTATTAACTACATATTATCATTAGAGTCATAAAAAACAAGGTATTAAGGTTATCAAATTTATTAAGTGCTTTTTCCATATAAATGAAGCTTCTATGCATGCCAAGCTCTATTTGACATTGACAAGCCACATGTTAGATTTTTATGTGCAATTATGGGCCTATGGATTTTTAATATACGAGGGATGATGATGGTATGTTGCACATCCGCGTGGACCCCATTTATAACATCCCTCATAAAATAATGATCCCCAAGTATCCACATATATGTTCCCTTTATGCAATCCCATCATGAGTTTCTGCCTTTGATCTGCACAAATTAATTCTTATTGTTCCCTTAATGTAATTAAGAGAAATGTTTTGCAAATATATATATAGGTAGTTAGGTTATAAGTTGTTCTGAGACAGATCCGGTATTAAGAATGTCCTAAGTTCGGATTGTGGGAAAGAAATATGGTTAAAATGTCATTTTGGTCCCTTTTCTTTGACAAAAAGCTCTTTTTGGTCCCTATACTTAAAAAGCCCCTTTTTAGTCCTTACAATTTGTTTTCCGACCCCTTTTTGATTCATTTGTTAGTTAAATGGTGAAATGACACAATTTCTGTTAACCAATTTATGTTTTTTAATTTTTAAATATTAGATAGAAATGAGATATAAAGGCAAAAAACTTATGTGGTACTATATATATATTTTTTTTGAACATGGGGAATGTGGGGGAATGAGGATAATTTGGCTACCATTGTAGCAAATGGAACTCTAGCAAATACCAGGAGTTCAATGCAATTAAACCAAGGTAGCCAAAGCTATAGGTGCCCTATGTGGTACTATTAAATGACCTTTTTAGTGACATGGCAATATTAAATGATTTTTTAACTGAGTTGAATTAGAAATTGGTTTTTGAAACATCTACATATCTTCATCTTCTTCTTCGATGCTAATGGATCGCCAATAATTTGGATACCTTGCTTCAACTGCAAACATTAATAATTGAGAATTCATCGGAATATTTTCACTGATAAAAACAATAAGTTAATTACTAATTAGAGTAATTTATCAATATTGCAAACCCTAACTTCTCTTCTTGTAAATCAGATCCTGCTCTTTACTACTTTCCCTAATTTCAGATCTTCAACCCCCTTTCCATCATTTCTCTTCACCCTTATTTTCCTATTGAACCTAGGTCACAAATGAACCAAGTTATGAAGTATGTAGCAACACAAACCTATCACTTACAATTTCAAACCCAAGTATAACTAGGTTCATGATGAATCCAAATCAAACATGATCTAGGTTCAAATTGAACACAAAACCAGCACCTAGGTTTCACAAAGAACCCAAATTTGGTTTTGTCCTTCTATCATCTACAACCTAGATTCAAGAAAGGTAAAAAAATAAAAATAAAATAAAATTAAAAATCAACTACGATTGAACATTGGCATCAACTCGAATCTAAGATCAAAGGCCTTGCCCTTGCTTCTTTAAGGCATCCATTCCTTGAAGAAATTCCATAAAGGAGAGAAGAAATTTCATAGAGGAGAGAAGAAATTTCATAGAGGAGAGAAGAAATTCTTATCAAACCTATCACAACCATCCATCCCCATCTCCATTCCTTCACTGCCCCTCACCACCCACCAACATGCCTCCACCTTGCTTTACCCTCTCATGCCTTTCTCTTGTCTTGCAAACCACAATCTATCCATGTCCATGCTCACCATCGCACTTGAATCTGAGTCCAAGAAAGATGACCAGCAAGTCTCCAAGCAATAGAGATGAAGATGATGGAGAGGATGGTGAAGATAACGATGATGATGACGATGCCAAGGATGAGGATGAGGACAAAGAAGAAGATGAAGAATTTAAGGTTAATCTTGTTTAAATTCATTTAATTCATGAATTAAGACATAAAATTTTTAATTTGTACAAGTGGGCTAAGATATTTAGATGAAATGCTTCCATGGGCTTATAATTTTGTCCACATAATCTTCCTTTTGATAACCTTGGATTTGCACATCATTTATATAAAAAAGTAATCAGGTAGTTCCATTAAATAATTTGACACATCACTAAAAATTTAATAAAGGGACCAAAAAGGGATTGGAAAAAAAAACTATCAAGATTAAAAGGAAATTTTTTAAGTATAAGGACCAAAAGAGATTTTTTTGTCATCACAATAAAGTTTTAACAAAAAATATATATATATCAACACTTGCATAAGTCTCATGAATTTAATAAATGTAACTTATGATGAACACCTTTGATTTGTTATTAATCCTCTATCTTTTTTTTTTTTTTTTTTGAACAAGGGCAATTACAGGGGGAAGGGGAAGGAGGAAGGAGGAAGGGAATGAGCCTAACCCATGGGCTGAGAGAAGCACCAATAGTCCGCAGGTTTAGTGTGAATATTCATGTGGTTTGTAGGACTCGAACTCCTAACCAACCCTACTTAAATACTAAAACTTGGAGACAAATCATTAGATCTGAATGCTCGGTTGTTAATCCTTTATCTCATCCTTCTCTTGCACATATTATTCTTAGTCCTCAAGTATGTATTGTGAACTTGAGCTGTGATATCTATATATATATAGATGTATTACTTGTACTTATATAGTAAATTTCGTTGATTAAAAACTAATTATTAATGTAAAAAATGGAGGATTATGAGAAAAACCTTAGAGTATTGGTTTTTTTTTTTTTTAAGTTACATAATAAAAAATAATTCTCTACAATTTTATAACTTATTTTACTCATATATCATATTATTTGAATTCATAATCTCTTATTTTTATTAAAAATATATTACTATTAAGTTATTTAAGTTGTTAACATCTTATTATTGCTCTTAAAAAAAAAGTAGACAGCAAAAATGAATTGATCCAATTAGGGTAAATTTCTCTTTCAATGAATAAGGGAGGCATGTTATTATAATTATTTGATAGTGTGAATAATGTCCCACACCACATTAGTCCCACACCACATTAGTCCCACGTGTGAGGTGACATTTGCAGGGAGGATGATTCACCATTGTCTTGCTTTTTTGTTGCCCATATCACATTTTCATAGTCATATATATATCTGGCAGTAATCAAATCTGTACCGATTGAAAGGAACCTCTGCCATCCCTACATATATATAATTCCAGTTTTGTGTTGGCCCCTCCTACACCTTCCATGCACCACTGGGCTACATCATAACAGTTTTAAGATTAAATTGGATGGCACGAAGAAAGTGACATTCTTAATTATTTGATGCATCACCTTGGATTTTGCTCGATCGAGCGATCATAGATGAGAGAATTGTGTTGAGAAAAATGCCAGAAGGTAAATGGCATATGTAACTTAAGAAATAAAAACTTGCCGACACTTTTTTTCTATCCGTAATTGTGTTTCTCGAAATGCGTGGCTACCCAAAATTTACATGAATTTTTGTTTTGAAAATAATATAATTATAATATTATATTATATTATAAATTTATTCATAAAATCTTATTATATAATATAACGGAATTTTTTATAATAATATATAATTTATTTATTTAATAATATATTATAATTATAAATTTATAATTTTGAGGAACTAATTGGATAATTACCTTCTTTACTTTTACATTTTATAAAGCTCAGAGAACCACTTGATCAGCATTGAATCTTCCACCCCAAATGTATAATCTGTTTAATGGGACCAAATTATTTATTTCAAATAATTAAAAATTATTTATTCTCTTCACTTTTGTTTTTAATGAGATTTATTTTCTTCATTTCATTTCGAAGTTACATGAATATATATACTACCAGGAAGCCATGGTTGGAGGCTGCACACTTTACTAATTGAATTAAAACAAGTTTCTCCAACTGCCTAAGGAATATTAATAGTAATTTTATTTTATATAAAAATAAATAAATTTAAATAAAATAAAATAAATCATTTTTATTATATAATTCAAAATAAAAATGAAGTGGTTCTAACATTACCCTTATAAAATTATATCATATATCCCTATCGTCTTGCAGAGAGAAAAAAAAAAAAAAAACCATAGTGTATACTGAGATTGACAGGATTTGTTCGATTCAAGAAATCAAAAAATTTGGTAACGCCGGCCAACCTCCTCTACTTGTGGTGGTGCGGCCAAAGCAAGCACATCTCTCCGGCGGTGCGGTTCCGTTTGAAAGAGTGAATCCCACGAGACACCAGGTTTTGATGCACACGTGTGTGGAGTGTACAACTGCAAATCTGTACGTTTACCCTATGTCTGCTAGCTCAGCTCAGCTCAGCTCTGCTCTGTTCTGTCCGGTTCTGATCCCATTCACACACACGAATGTGTATGTCAGGGTTGCACGTGTGGCTCAGATTAATGCTGGGAAACCATGAAAGTGACCTGGGATAGAAGAGATCACATGCATTTTGCAATTCATCCAATTGTCCGGTGGCCAAAATGATGCCTCTCTTTTTCCTGTCCTCTTGGCCTTCTATTCAAATAATTAATCAATGAGCCCAACATCCCAATCGACTGAAAGATTTTTCCTTTTTCTTTTTCCATGAAATTTGTAGAAAAAATTATGGTAAATGTAAAATGGAACAATTCGGTATCTTGCACCCTAGACATATTTAATGGTTTAAGTAATTAAGTTTTGATGGGATTTGGTGTATTAGTGTTAATAAGATCGCACCTATTTAAGTAATTAAGTTCAACAATTAATATTTAAAGTTGTATGCAGTCATGAAATTAAGAAATAATTTTATGGGATAAAAAGAAATACTGATAAAAAAAATATATTAGGATTATATATGATGAGATATAAATTATTAAACTATATTATTAATTTTTCAAAAATTTAGGAAGGTATGGAATCTGAAGACCCTTTATCTCTGCCAGTAGCTGTGGAGACAATAAAAAATGTGAATATTACATGTTGGGAAATGCTTTTTCGTATAATTTTTTTTTTATCTTTTTGTATAATTTGATGTATCATTAAAATAATTTATTTTTTTAATTTATGTAAGACCTGTAATATTAAATGCATCAACTTATTTAATGATATGTAAAAGTTATATAAAAAAAAATCAATATGTAAAAATTATATAAAAAAATAAAACAAAAAAATTATTCCCATAACACCACCTTGCAGGTTAGATTAAGGTTGCAACAATATTACCGAAAGTATTGGAATTGGAGATTTGAAGCAAACTCATTGTATCTCCCACAACAACAACTTGGTTGCCGAAGTTATAATTGCCTCATTCATATATTGAACTTTTGTCGGCCAAATTCCTTCTTAAATCTTTTTGCGTTTTGGTTTCTTTGTCACTAATCAATAAAATGAGTACTAAAATTGACACCCCCACTTAATTTTGTTTTATGTTATATTATAGGTGAATGCTCCCGTGATATTGTGGATTAACGTTCCGTATTCTATATATATTTATACCAATATAATATGTAAGTACTTATTAATTATACTAAGTTTATCTTCCCTTTGATTTTTCTTTTCTAACTAATATAATTTTTTGGAAAATTGAGGAGGGAAAATAGGTTAAGAACCCTTGGAAGTTTGGCCAAGCGAGTGGCAAGGAATCAAGAGTTTGGTTCATCGATCTTCCCTTTGATTTTGCTAACTGTCTCTGATTGTTGCTTCAAGAGCTGAAGACAAATAGAGGAACGGATAGTCACTGGCCTTTTGTTAAGGTCAATCAAAATGTTACTATATTATAAAAAATAATTAATAAGTGTAATTAGAGGATAGTGGCCTCCCTAAACTTTTGAAAAGTTGTAAATATGGTCTCTTTTATATTTTATTTTATTAAGATTAATTATAAAGTTTTTAGATGGCTAGGAACATTTAAATATAGAGAAAATATTGAAGATTTAGATAAATAGTTTCTAAAAGATATAGATTATGAACTTTATGTATATTTGATTGAGAGGATGGGAAAATTATAACGTTTAAATATTAAAAATATCAGAATATTCAATCAAAATCACATGATAAATAAAGTATAATGTAGATCTTACTTAAGTGATGGTTGGGATTAATTATTTTGACAATTTTAATATTATGACGTCCCTGTCTTTTATTTTCTATTTGATTGACTACGAATTAAAGGTTTTTAAGATTCTTTTTCTCATTCGACTCATAAAACACAAAAGTTCTCTTTCACAATAAGCACAATACAGGCTTTAATTCCTTAGTATTTCTTTCTATTTTCTTAATTAGTATTGTATCTAATAACTTGACGATTTCTTTGATATCACTTTTTTTTTACCCTACATTTCATGATTGGATTTTTAAATGTTCTTCGTGCTAAATCAATCCAAGGTAGATTTTTGTTTTTGAAGGAGGCATGTTGGTGTTTTATTTTTTTATAT